AGAGAGAGAGAGAGAGAGAGAGAGAGAGAGAGAGAGAGAGAGAGAGAGAGAGAGAGAGAGAGAGAGAGACAGAGACAGACAGACAGACAGACAGAGAGAGAGAGATAGCGAGGCAATCGCTGATGAGCCAATCATCGGCAAGACGTCTTGTCATCCGCCACGACGATTGGCCCTGAAGGATTGACGAAGGATAACACACACACACACACACACACACACACACACACACACGCGCGCGCGCTCGACGTCCGGATGCGCCGCTGGCGATGGCAACCGCCGTCGTCCGTCCGTTGCCACACGTGCGGACGACCGCGCCCCTCCAATCCGCAGTACCGGTCGCCGGCGAACCGACACGCCCGTCACAGGCCAAAAAAAAAAAAAAAAAATCCAAAACGCGACTCGGCCTCCGACCATACCACCACCCACAAGAACCCCGCCCTAACGTGTGTCCCTTCGTCGGACCCTACCGGAGGCCGACGCGCCAGAAGTGAAAATGCTGGTTTTTTAGGAAAAAAAACAACAACAACAAAAACGAAAAGTCCCGCGGGACACAGGCTCGCCGAAATCTGGCGCGCAGCATAATTCAGGTTCGGCAAAAAAAGGCTCGGAGATACTGATGGTTTAATTGCTCCAATCTATTCGTGGGGAGCTGCAATGTTGTAAAACTCTCTTTTTCTCTCTTTCTCATAGTCTGACGGAGAAGAAGGGAACCAGAGCGCTGGGGGGAGAGAAGAGTGATCGACTGGAGGAAGAAGAAAAAAGAACAAAGCCTCTCTCTCTCTCTCTCTTTCTCTCTCTCTCTCTCTCTCTCTCTCTCTCTCTCTCTCTCTCTCTCTCTCTCTCTCTCTCTCTCTTTCTCCTGGTATACCAATCACTAACCTGCGAAAGGTGTCACCTTGATGCAGGCATGGGTGACAAAGCTTGATCACTGCTGTCGCAGGCAAGTCGTCAGGTGAGTGTCCTGGTCTCCACCATAGCTGGCAACTCTCCCTAGCCTTCGCTACTGTCGGGTGCAGTGCTAGCTCGTGGCCTGGAATCGTAACGCAGCGCCCAGCGCTGGATGACTACAGCCTACCTATCGTCGACTACAGTACTACCTTCAGACTACCTGCCTCAAACTGACGCTGACCAGCTATATGTAGTGCTGGTCCGGCCTCAGGCATGGCCTTGGCGCCTAAACGTGGCGCCCGGTGGTCCGGCCTCAGGGGTGGCCTTGCCCCTAAACGCGACGCTCAACGGTACTGTGGAGGTCTAGCTCTGAAACTCGCGCCCAAACGGTGGCCTGCGGATGGCACCCAGGGCCTGTGCCCTCTGGACATTGCGCCCTGCGCCTAAAATGATGCCCAGGACCTATGCCTTGTGGTGGAACTGCGCCCAGGGCCTGAAACGGTGCCCAGGGCCTGTGCCCCCAACTGCAGGCCTAACTGGGCCTCTAACCAGGGGCCTAGCGCTAGTGAAACGACGCACCAAACCTGGTACTACTTGGCCTACTGGTCCTACTAACCCTGCTACCCTCCTAGGCTTTCGGACCAGGCCCTGTAAAGGGCCTACTTGGAACAGAGAATGCAGGGCCTACGTGGAACAGAGAATGCCACACACCCACCTCCTTGAAAGACCGAGCTGACCTGCGAGGGCGAAGCTGTCTGTCGGAGGGAGGGACCGAAGTCCGGGTGGGAGGGGCAGGTTATGCAGCTTCCTTTGCCAGTCATTGTCGCTCGTAGTCGGCGTAGATCAGCGGTGCGGATGCTTGCAGGTCTGCATGTGAAATCTACCGTGTGTTGTCGCGGTCACATGATTTGAATGTGACCTTGTATTGTATTGGCTTATTGTCGTACTTGAGGTGCATGATGACACGATCGACCTCCTGATGACCATCCATAGATGGAGGGTCCTGCGATCGTCGGTCCAGGAAGTCGTATACGTAGCCAACTTTAAGGCGTGGAAAACCGAGTGGACCGGCAGATGCGGCAGGATATCGATTAGAAATGATGGGCCATTGGGCTCGTCGCCCGTGGTTGATGTGACGGTCCAAGGTCCAAACCACTTGGGGAGTAGCTTGTGCGAAACATTTTGCTCGAGCGCAAACTCTTCTGCGAAGACCCAAACAAGGTTGCCGACGGATAGGACATGGCACACGACGCCTATTGGCTTGCAGCTGCGTGCGGACTTGAGCCTTGTGCATGTGCGAGTGGGCTTGAGCCAACAAGTTCATGTACTTCCGAACTGAGGTGGGAGAGCAAGGGGTGTCAATGTCGACAGTTTGCGGAAATGAAAGATCAGCAAAGATATGACCTTTCTATCCACCATGGTGCAACTCGAATGGAGTCACGCAGATCACCAGATGCAATGAAGTGTTGTAGGCGAACTCGACGTCGGGGAGGCGGTCAACCCAATCCTTGTGATCCGGATGGATGAGCGTACGGAGCATCATTTGAGCACTTTGATGTGTCCGCTCTGTTTGCCCATCCGTTTGTGGATGCCGAGCCAAACTCGTTTTCATCTCGTTGCCGAGAGAAGTCAAAAATAACGACATGGAACGAGTGTCGAGGTCACTGACGATGTTTTTTGGAATGTCGTGGCCGCAAATCCAGCCAGTGTGCAAGAGTCGTGTGAGCTTGGGAGTTGTGGCATAATACTTGCAAGGAAGGAATCGTGCGTACTTAACTTAAACGATCAATGATTGTGAGAATGTCGTCGTGCCCGAAATGGTCGTGGGGGAATGAGCCATTGACGTGCATAGCAATGGAGAGGTCGGGTTCCCGAGCGATAGACAACCGACGCAACTCGCCATAGGGGTTGCGGTTGCAGGGTTTGCTTCGTCGGCAAGCTTCGCAAGGTTTGCAATACCAGGTGACATCAGTAATGAGGTCGGGCCACTGGAATCGTTGTCGAAGTCTCGTGATCGTACGGTTGACTCCGAAGTGGCCAGTGAGTTGCGAGTCGTGGTACTAGCCGAGAAGGCGGAATCCGTAGTCGACGGTCTCGTGGAACACATAGTAAGTCATTTGCCTCATGACTGGAGAAGCAAGTAGTCGCCGGTGATGCGGTAGTGGCTGGTCGGCAGGTGATCCGAAGAACGTTGCTCGTTGCGAGTGATATATTCCGGATCCGACTTACATGTGCGCACAAAATGCTAATGGAGGTCGTCGTCGAAGTCGAACACGTGATGGATCGCTGCGCAAGGATCTCATCTTTGAGAGAGAGCATCCGCGGCTCGGTTTGAAAGACCCAAAATGTGCTTCGGTGTAAAGTTGAATTGATCGATGAAGTACATCCACTGAGCAATCATGCTACTCACCGTGTTTTCCGTCTTGTAGTAGGTCAATGGGTTATTGTTCGTAGCCCAAGCGAACCTACAATGCCCAAGGAGGAAGTGTCACGAACGCTAAAGTACTATGACGAATGCGAGCAACTCCTTCCACGCATCATCAACGCAATTGATGGTTGACACCTTTTGGTTGAAGTATTCAATCGGATGCCAATTCACTCCGCCGTGTTGTTCCGAAATTGCACCAATGTCGTAACTGGAAGCATCCGTAGTCACTCTCGTCGGCAAGGTGGGGTCATAGATACTTAAGACGGGAGCGAGAAACAATGCCGCATTCAATTTTTGGAACGAACTCCGGACTTCGTCGGAGAAATGGAAGGGCACCTTCAAAGACTGTAATATCGACAAAGGTGTGGTGATCCATGCGTATCTGCCGATGAAAACGAAATAATACCCGGCCAATCCCATGAAAGAACGAACTTTCGTAGTGTTGGTCGGTTCCGACCAATCTTGGACAACCTTGATATTGTCCGCGAGCGGACAGATGCCTTGTGGCATCACAAAGTGGTTCAAGTACTCGAGATCCTGTTGCGCGAATTCACACATGATTTAATTGACCTTGTACTTGCCCGAACGTAACCTATCCAGAACGGAACGTAGATGCGCAAGGTGCTCGTCCAAAATCCGGCTATAAACCAAGATGCCGTCGAGGTAGATGAGCACGAACCGGTCCAACATCTCGTGGAACTCCTTCGTCATTGACGCTTGGAAGGTGGCCGGGGCGTTCACGAGGCCGAATGGCATTGCGACCCACTCGAAGTGCCCGTACTGTGTTTGAACGCGGTCTTGTGCTGATCCCATTGATGGATCTTGATTTGGTGGTAACCGAACTTGAGATCCAACTTGGAGAAGTACATGGCGGCGGTGGCGCCGCCCAAATGTTCGACAAGATTGTTGATGCGTGGGAGTGGGCCAACATTCTTTAAGTTAACGGTTTGCGCGTTAAGTTTGCGGTAGTCAATGCATAGCCGCAATTCCTTGTTCGTCTTCTGGGCGAAGAGAACGGGTGCACCGTAGTAGGGCGAGCAGCTAGCAGAGGTGGGCAAATTTTTTTTTTCCTCACCCTCGACCCAACCCGCCCAAATTTTTTTTTTCCCCATCCACCCGGCCCAAGAATTTTATTTTTTACTCTTAGACAACCCCACCCACCCAAAATATTTTTTGATATTTCAGCCCCACCCCCGATCCGCCCGTGACCCGAAAAAAGCCCCAACCCACACCCGCCCGCACCGTAAGAGTATCATCACCCGCCCGCGTCCAATACCTAAATTTTCTTCACCCGCACCCACCGGCATCAGCCCGTGCCTGCCTGTGCCAGTCCCTTACAGCATCATGATTTCATCGCCAACATAGCATTGCAACAAAGACATCTTAAATTCTATTATTAAAACAACGACAACATAAATGCAATCAGACTCGTCTTCTTTTCCACTTCGCATACATGCAAACAGACGACGATTCACGCTGGCGTGGAGCGCCCACTCAAAGCTCAGAGATATGGACAACGAGAACACAGTTCAGTTGCAAATTCACTTCAACAGGCTATGGCGCACCAGCGCCTGTACATCCCACTCTCGTCACTGTGTCCGACACCACTACTTGCACATGCTCACTCTGGATCACCCTGAATACTCCACACACGCACTCTATTAGGTACCTCTACCCTACGACGGCTATGGCAGCTCGCCACTACTACTATGGCTACGATCTCCCTTCAACCCACTTCGTCTTCGGGCAACCTGCAGACCACCTTCGCACAAGACGTTGTAGCAGCGCTTCCGCATGGCTTATGCAGCGAATGAATGAATGGCTGGGCGCTGCCTCTTGATTTATACTTCTGTAACTCGTTGGTCTGCCCCTTTCCCAGGCCCTTGGTGCACACAGTCCCACACGGTACTTGCTTGACTGGACTCTAACTGACTGAGACCGGTGCTGCTGACTGCATGGGTTTGCACTGCCAACTCGATGCAATCCCACTGTCGACGTCACACAGTTGGCTCACCACTTGCCCACTTGCCTCTGACTAAAGGCCCACCACTTACCCACTTGCCTCTGACTAAAGGCCCACCGCTTGCCCACTTGCCTCTGACTAAACGTGGGACACTTCGAAAAGCAGACCTTCTGGAAGGCTGTGGACTTGGGCTTTCGGGTACTGTAGCAGTTACGACCTTTACCTTTCAGAACTGTAGCAGCTACGACCTTGACCTTTCAGAGCATCTACAGCCACGACCTTTACAGAGTTATGACTCCTAATCGACAGACCTACAGATAAACCCCTACCGCTACGCGGACCTACGACAGACGACAAACAACTACCAAAACACAGATCACGGGTTCAAACACTCAGGGGTCGACTCAGTACTGTACATGGGCAAAGTGAGGTCTGGGGATCGAACTGTAGGGCCCGTATCCGTGACTGCCGAAAGGTGAAAACCATTTCATCAACAATGCGACTCGAACTTCTCAAAGGAAAATATTTCAAGATTTTTTTTTTTTGCCTAGGGGCAGCTGCATTGCTTTCGCACCAACTTTACTTCATCGGGACCTGGTCAACTGAATCAGACACTTTTTTCTTTGACTCTCAACCTCAAGCCCGACGTACTACACAAGGAAGGAGCGGGGGGGGGGGGGGGTGCATAATTTTCGGGTCATCCTGGGTCTATGGGTCGGGTGACCCAGGCCAAGCCATCACCCGCCTGCCACCCGCCCAGCGGGTGACCTTGGTCAAGTCTTCACCCGCCCGTCACCCAGAAAGGCATGCTGGCTGCGCCCGCCCATTACCCACCCAAGACAGCTCATGTAGACCTAAATCCGACCCATCACCCTGTGGGTCGGGTGGGTGCAGGTGGGTGCGGCTCTGGGCGCCCGGTGCCCAGCTCTGGCAGCTAGGGAAAGTCCAACCCTTGACAATAAGGTTGTTGAGTTGCGTTCGAAGCACTTTGAGTTCTCCTTGCTCATGCGATAAATACATCCGCACGGAGTTATGACCCCGTTTTCGAGGATGATCTCGTGACGAATTGGCCGATCCGGTATGATTCCAGCGGAAGTTTCAGAACGTCGCTGAAGGGGTCAAGAAGCTCTACAATGCTTGGATCCGGTGACACTTCCGTCGCTGGCTCGTTGGGAGAAGGGAGGGTGTGCAAAAAAACAAATGCCCATTTCCTCGACGCCGTGCCGTGGGATGGAGTTGCGAATGCTTGCCATGGAGACCACGTGACAACCACTCGAAGGGTGTGGCGGAGTAACCGTGACTGTACATGAAACTAGTAAACTGTTTCGATCACGAACGTGAAAGGTGCGGCGGTAAAAGTTCACCGGGTGGTCTTCTCTTCGCAGGCACGACATGCCTAAGATCATGTCGAACTTTGTTTTCAAAATGTCAAAGGACACGACCTCGCGTGTGTGTGGGGCAAAGTACACGGGTGCCGCGTCAGTGCACCGGTCAATAGACTTGTGCATGTGATCGTCGGCCAACGAGACTTACGTGGGCTGCGACTTCCTTTGAACATGCGGGCCGAGGCTGGCGCGAACCATGAAGTCTTGGCTGATGTAGTTGCGAGTAGCTCCATAGTCGATCAAAGCACTGCAGGTTGCCTTCTCGATCTGCATGCGGATATAAAGTAACGGCGCGTCGGTGTCATCGTGCTGTTGCGTGGCGTACTCGCGGTCGATCTTCGCAATATACTCACGAAGGTCAACAACCGCTACTCTATTGTCCGTCAACCGAGTTGGTATTACAACGTGCAAATACTTGCATAGCTCCTCCATTAGGGCATAGCAATGCGGTTTCGGAAATGAACCGGATGGGGGAAGAGGCAACCATTGGAAGTCTTTTGTCGTTAACGGGTCAAAATCCTCAGGTCTTGACCTCACCGACGGGTCCTCGGATAATCGTGTCGGCGATGAAGTTGGTTCACATGCCGAAGGTGTTGAAACCGCACATACGTGAGAATCTTGCACGTGTAGGGGTAGGTCCAATGGAGAGACTAGCTGGACAGCATAGTCTTCGAAGTCTTCTTGAAGACGTGCGGCATCCGCATGTTCCCCGGACGTGTGAGAGGTCGCTAGCAACACAACCGTGTCTGGCGGAATAGGAAGTGGAGTCTCCTCACTTCCCGTGAAGCTTAGTTTCCCAAGCTTTGTTGTGGACAAATGTCGTTTTTGCCCTTGTCGGGGCATTGAGACAAAGTATGTTTGGTGCTGTTGCACCGAAAACAACATCTGTACTTTTGGCGGAGCTGATATTGCACCTTTGTAAGACGAAACTTTGTCCACGGCTGGTTCGGCTGTCCAGCTTCCAACGTCCACACTGATTTCACCTTCTTCGTTCGTGTGTTGGTGCATCGCAGCGGAAGGGCATTGACTAGGTCCCTTCACTTGATGCGGGAGTCGATGCCTGGTCTTCTACTTGTCCACTTGTTTGGACTGCAGCAACAGGTTGCGTCCGTTGCCCCTTGCCTTTGTCCAGAAAATTTGGTTGGCCTTGCCGGTCATTCGCGGCCTGCCGATTGGTTTGGATGATCGCGTGGGCATGAGTGACAATGGAGTTAAAGTCTGTGTAGTGCTCCTCTTGTCTGATCGCCTGCGTCAACGAAAATTTTTCGCCATTCCGTTAACCAGCAACGTCGGCTGATTTCCTTGGTAAATCTGAAACGCTTGGTTGGCCGCCTTCGCCTTTCTGTCTTGCACGATGAATCGGGCCTTCCACAAGGCGGTGATGGCATCCCAATCCAGCTTGGTGTGCAGATCCTCCATGTCGACCCCTTCCTTGACCGCGAGGTGGTTGAGCCACATTTGGCACGCACCCGTGGTATTAAGGTAGGGTGCCGCTATCTTGAGGCGCTCGGGGACTTCATGCAGTCCAAGTTCGGTGGTGAACCCTTGCCACCAAGCTAGCGGATTCGACTTCGTGTAGTCATCAAGTTTGTCGATGCGGAAGTTCGACATTTTGAACATCACGAGCTGCTGCTGGCTGGATGTTGCTGCAACGTGCAGATGCCGACCTTCAGCTCTGTGTAACAGGCTGATTGTTTTTGATCTCATGAACGTGCCGAGGTCGTCGATTGTGGCGACCGCTTGGTCAATCCGCTGCTCCAACTCTAGCGTTGACGGCTGGCTGCTACTTTGTCCGGTGCTTGCCGAGGAGGCGCCGTCTTGTTCCAAGTGGTTGATACGTGTGTTGAAGCTGCGGTTTGCATGACATTGTGAGTCCTGCATTTCGTCAATGATGCGCTTGAGCCGCTGCAACTCGTGCTGTTGCCAATTGCAAGTCAGCATGAGTTTCACGATGAGCTTAGAGATGTCTTCCTTAGTCTTCTCTTCTGCCGACGGTTGGCTGTGACCGTCCGTCGGGGTAAAATGCCAGCCGCGCAGTGTGGCTGCGTGCTCCATTTCTTGCTCTTGCAGACTTGCCAAAGTGTCTTGTGAGAGGCTCTGGATCGCATTAGCTGCTTCCCCTAGTTCTGACACTGGGCTTCGGCGTCTTCTTGCTGTTGCCGTAGTAGTTCGACACTGTTCCTCTTCAACCACCAGTTTGCTGAAGGTGAGGATGAGGGCAGCAAAGTTCGACCACCAGTTTATTGCAGAGGCAGCCTGCGGCTGCTCCTCTTCGGCCACCAGTTTGCTGAAGGTGAGGATGAGGGCGGCAAAGTTCGAGATGGAATCGTCGGGCTGTTGGCCTGACATGCCTTGTGGGTGAGAGTTCAAGGAAGAGAAAGAGACCAATGATTAAGAAAGTCGAAGGGTTGAAACTAGGAAAGAAAAAGAGATGGTTATTCGTGCTCATCAGGGATAAACGGAAAGTCTGGGTCAAACGAGACTCTAGGGCTTTCACTTCATCTCACAGGCAAAAGCGACGCGAAGGGGGCTCGCACACATCGACTGGGCAGACTAAACATGGATCTAGAGCTAGACATCCTCTGAGCCCGCGGATAAATAGAAGTGAGTCTAAGAAGAAGCCACGCCACAGAACCAAACACAATACTCAGGATGTCAGCCTCAGGTCGGTACAGGTTCTCTAGTGAGGACTATGCGGTCTCGACAGGGACGTCGAGAGGAGGTCCGGGCTATTGTCGGGCGGCCAAATCCAGCCGGCCTCCCAAAATGAGGGGATTATGAGCCTAGACCAATGATACTAACGATTTTTGACATTTTCTTTGTCGGGCGAGGAACGGAGAAACAGGGCACTCGAACTGACCCCTGTTTTCCGTTTTCGCAACCATATGTACTAGGCCTACTATTAGGCTGAATATCGTATCATGCTGTTTTATTTTCGGATTTACCGTTATGAACCGGTTTTGAGTCTTTTGACCTTACTTTCATTACCATTGCCATCTGGTCTCGAACATGTGTGCAGGATTCCGTGCGAGCGATTTTCTAATGACAAGTCGAGGGTGGTATTTTATTTATTTTGTGACTAAGTACAAAATTATGGACACAAAAAGAACGATGAAAAAGAGAACATGAAATCCTCCGATTTTACTGTTCCCCTGTTTTTTTGCGTCAACATTATGCTTTTGTACCGAACTACCGTGATTTGTACCACTCTACTATTCTCCTATCCAGTCTCCATTTTTGTGTGCAACCAACCCCTGGATCATGCTATACATGACCTTACTGGGTGAGAGATGTGATGAGGACGTATTGGTTCCACTGGATTTTTTCAATACGTGAAGAATTGGTGTAGCGGACCTCGAGTTGGCCTGTGAGACCAGCCCCTTGGCCTGTTCTCGCACGCCTGTGTTGTATTCGGGGTAGGCCAGTCCAGGCCGGTACCTCTGTCGGTACCAGCCAGTCCAGTCCAGTCCCGTCAGTCCGCTGGGGTATACCCNTATTCGGGGTAGGCCAGTCCAGGCCGGTACCTCTGTCGGTACCAGCCAGTCCAGTCCAGTCCCGTCAGTCCGCTGGGGTATACCCCAGCCATTGTTTGTTTTCGCGCTCATTCTTCACTTGCACATTTTGGAGTACGTGCGTTGGAGTCTTGCGTGGGGAGCTGCGCTGTGCACCTTGCTCCCTCCTTCTCCCTCCATCTCCACCTCTGTCACTAGCGGAGCACCACACCTGGTGGGTCCGCCACATTGGTATCGGAGCGGGAACGGTCCCCGCCCCCACCCACCACACCGCACAGCAGGGAAATACGGCAAAACCCGACAGTCGGGTTTTTGGCTGTTTTCCGGCCGTTTTCGGGCGAAAAAGCGAGAAAAACAACGAAGAAAGGTGCTGCAGCAGGAGAGCTCCATGTGGCGAAAAAGGAAGCCGCATCACAACAAGGCCAAGGCCGCCGCACGCGCACGCGCGCCATGCGCCCACGCTGCCCCGCCCCGCCCCGCCCCGCTCCCGAATTTTATATTATCAAGATCCAGGATGCAACTGCTGCCACTGGGGTTTGAACCCAGGCACCTGCCGAGCCATGCACGTGCGTAAGCAGCCTCATAACACACTCGCCACAATGTGTCCATAGTTTTGTAATACGGCACACTCGTGCTGAAGAGGTGCCGTGCTGGCTATTTACCCCCCCCCCCCCTCGGCAGCGAGCAGTGAGCAGCAGCGAAGTTGCTATTTACCCCTCTACAGTGGAGAGGGCCTGCTCACACAGCAGACCCTACATCTGGACATCTGCAGAAGTGCTGCTGGGGGCTCATCAAGATCTCAGCCCCCCCTCTCTCCTCCAACTGGCTGCTGCAGCAAAGACCAAGACCCTCCTGGTCTTGGTGTACCTTGTGCCCTTGGAGACACCAAGGGCCAGGTATCACTCCCTTCTCCCCTCTCCCTCTACTAACCCAMTCTCCCTACCTCTCCTCTCTCCTCTTATTCACCCCTTCTCTTTCCCCCACCTTCTACTGCATCTTCCCCTCCTCCTTTTATCTTCCCCTCCCCACCTTTCTCCCACCACCCATTCTCTTATTCTATTTTTTTCATCTCTTCTTTTCCTTCCTTCTTTTTTTCTTCCTTCTTGATCTCTCTCCACCTTTTCCCAACCCTCCTCTCCCCCAACTACCACCACATCATCCCCYCACCTCCCACTTCATCTTTTTCTCTCCCCCCCACCTATTTCTTTCTTTTCTCCCTCACTTTTCATTCCCCTTCCCCTCTACTTCGAAAAATTTTCTGTTTTTTTTCTTTCCACCTCTCTTTTGATTGATCTTTTCTCTTTTTCCAAAAATTCGAAGTATCTTCTTTCCCACCTTCTTTTCTCATTTTCTGATTTATTTAATTTATTTTTCTATTTATTCTGAAAATTCGATTTTCTCTACGGCAACCCTAAATTTGATTAGTTATTAGTTTTCTCATCTTCTTCCCCACCCTCTTTTCTTATTTTTTTGATTTATTTATTTATTTTTACTTATTCTGAAAATTCTTGGCGGCAACCCTAAATCTGATTAGGTGTTAGCCTTTCTTGCTTTTGGCACATGTTTTGACCCCGTGGGGGTAACGAAGTGCTGCCGAAATTTTCTGATTTTTTTTTCTTACTTAGTCTTTTCGGTACACTTCGACCCCATGGGGGTAACGAAATGCTGCCAAAATTTTTGAAAAATCAGGTAACCCATTTCTCCTCACCTCCTCACACACCTATTTACTTATTTATTTATATATTATTTATTTATTTATTTTTTGAAATTTGTTTATTTATTTGCGGCATCTCTAGTGTGCACACCTCGGTCTCTCCTTTTCCCTTGGCACATTCTTGACCCCGTGGGGGGTAGGGAAATGCTGCCGAAAATTTCAAAAAATAAATAAATATTGTTTCTCTTCACATCTCTTTACTTATTTTTTTAATTATTTTTATTATTTATTTATTTATTTTTATTTTCTCCCGAAATCTCGCTTTTTATTTATTTTTCTCCTGTCTCCCCCCCCCTTATGCTTGCTATTTCACTTTCTTGATTAGGTCACCGGTACCCTACCCTAGCCTTAAACCTCGGTTAGGGTTTTGTTAGGGTTTTTGTAGGGTTTAGGGTTCCTCAACACCCCCCTACTTCCCCGTCCTCTTCGGGCACCCTGGACCCGAACCACCCCTCCCCCTTTGACGGCGCCCGTGCTAGCCTTGCTAGCGCCGTTCGCTGCTTTCTACCGCGGACTTCCCCCTATGCCCTCCGCTCACACGGACCTCTTCTGGCCCCCTCCAGTCCGGTCCGTCATCTCCCCATGGCCGACGGTGCGTCACACGCCGCCGACACGGCGATGACCACGGCATCGGGCTCCACACCCGTGCCGACGGACCAAGGCCATCAGCCCCAGGGGGATCTACACACCCTCCTCACCTCCCTCCTTGCGCCTATCCAGGCGCAACTCGCGACCCTTCCGCCCATCCAGGCGCAACTCGCGACCCTCGCGCCCTTACAGGCGCAGGTGGCAACCCTTGCCGCCGACATGCAGCAACTCTAGGACGCTGCGTGTCCGCCATCTCTTGGCTCCCAGTTCGGGTCCCCCGTCCTCCGACAGGGTGGCCACGACGGAGCTTCCTCCTCCGTTGCCCCTGACCCGGCCATCTTGGTGACTGTCCACGCCCCTAGCACGACGACTGCCACGAGCCAGGCCCCCCCTCAGTCTACGGGCGCACCTGCCCAGATCCCGGTCACTACGGCCACGGTACAACAACCCGCTACCATGGTCTTAGCTTTTCCGGGTGCCCCGCTTCTCCCTCCCCTTCGCACGACCGCAGCGCCACCTGGCTCTCCCCCCTTTGGGATGCCCCGCGCCGCTTGTGCGTCCACCCCCTCCACTCTTCCTCCTGCCACCCCTCGATCGATCTACGTTCGAGGTCTCGCGGACGAGATTGCCCAGCCCCGGGCCGACCTCGCCCTATTACGACTTCAGCCACCCCCACCCTCATAGGTGGCCGCGCCTTCGGGCGCGCCCCCTACCTCCTCTACCCTTCCTCCCATGCAGGCTCGCTTTCCCCGCCCTGCACCCTATACAACTCCTTCCTACCTTCTTCCTACTCCCGCGGTTGCTGCGACCACTTCTACTGCAACACCCTCGCAACCTGCCGCTGTTGCCACCGTCGCTCCCCCATGCGGCCCGGGCGCACAGTCAGCTGCGCCCCTTTCTCCAGGACCTGCGCCGACTAACTCAGCCGTGGCACAGACCTCCGCTCCTCGATCCCCTCGCCGCCAAAACGGTGGCGCGCCACTCATCCGCTTGTCGGACATTGCCTTGTATGACGGTACAGGCATACGCGTGTCTGGGTGGCTGCAGTCTGCCACCCGCACACTCCAGCTCATGGGCGCCACACCCGAGACGTGGGTGGGTCACCTCTCGACGCGCCTGCATAGCGGTCCTTTCGAGGCCTGGGAGGATTTCTATCCCTAGTCCCTTCGAGAGGGTCGGACTCCGACCTTCGTGGATTTCCAGTCATTCCTCGAGGATCGCTTCGGAGCCCGATACGACGTGACTGACGCCTTCGAGCGTGTCGTCACTACACGCTGGTCAGGCTCTGGTGGCGCTGCTGGCCTGGATCGCCACATCCAGGTCTTTCAGGACGCTTGCCTCGTTTGCGACGTGGCGTTCCTCCCCGAGGCTGCCCTTATCGATCGTTTCTTGACCAGCCTTCTGCTCGAGTACCGCTCCGAGCTATGGCGGTACGAGTTCACATCGGCCCCACAGGCTTACGAAGCCGCCAGGGACCACCAGCGGATGCGAGCCCGTCTTCACCCCTCCTCCTCCTCCCAACCCCAGCGCACGGGCTATGCCTCCTCCTCCTCTCACGACACTTCCCAGCGCCGTTCCCCTTTCCGCGGTCGCCCCCATTGTTCCACGCAGTAGGGCCGCCACTTCTCGCGCCGCTTCAGCACGCTGGAGTATGGTGAGCAGGACGCTGTTGCCCCACTGTCACCTGAGGGCGACCACAACGACGACCTCGATCTCTGCGAGGCCGTCCACTATCACTTGGAGGACTCTACCCTCCCTGCAGCTGAGCGCCTTCAGCTCGCGCTCTCCGCCCTCTCTCGGGCACGCAGCCGCCCCGGTCACGCTGGCGCGTCGCCCCCCGAGGTCCCTCAGGAGGACCTCCCTCCGGGCTTTGTCCCTCCTCGCGGTGTCCTTTCCACTGAGGAGCGCGCGGCTATTCTGGGCCGACGTGGGAGTTTGCGCTGCCGCTTGGACGGTCATACCTCCTCGCGGTGCCCTTACACTACCGCCCTCGACCGCCACTACGCTGATCTTTCTCGTCAGCGTCGTGCTCAGTCCCCCCGCGGCGCCTCACGTCCCCGCGGCGCCTCCTAGCCACGGTGCAGTGTACACCTGCGCCTTCCTCAGTAGTGGGCTTTCCGACATCTCCGTCGCAGTTCGCCCCTCTCGCTACTGGAGTTGAGGTATCGGAGGACTCGACAGAGTGTACTTAGCCCTCTGTCGCAGTACCGTCTGCGCATTTGCAGACCACCGTCTCCCCTCCTTCCCCGCCGCGACTACCGAAGCGTCGAGCCATTCGCTCAGCCCGTTGCAGCGAGCAGCTTGCTACTCGCGAGGACGTTGTGTCCTCTCTCAGTTGACTTGAGCATGCTCCAGGCTCGTCAGGATCGACTCACCCTCAATGTCGTTGCACTGCTTCGCATTCTCGCCATCCTCTCTGACCATGATCGCACCCTCCCGATCATCCCAGTACGACTCGGGACCTTCACGAGGGTGTACTCAGCGCTGTGGGATTCCGGTTCTCAGGGCAACTTCATTCACCCACACGTGGTGAAGGAAGTCCGCTTACCCACGACAGGGTCTCCGACTCCCATCTCCGTTACCCTAGGGGATGACAAGACCCAGCGATTCTTCGATCAGACGGTCACCGACCTCCCCTTTTTCCTCACTCCCGAGCCGCCTGATCGTTCCCCGGCGTCTCGTCGCCACCGCTCCTCTGCACATTTCGATGTGATGGAGACGGGGTACGACTTCATTCTCGGCACTCTGTGGTCTCGTCGGTTCCGCAGCACCGAGGCCGATTGGGCGACCAACACTCTCGTTCTCAAAACGAAGTGTGGACAGACGTATCGCGTACCTTTCATAGGTACCACGGCGATACCACGCCCCGATCCTCCTCCCCCGGAGCCGTTAGTGCCCACACCATCCCCCTCTATCACTGTCACCTCGCCTCGGCAGTTCGCTCACTTTATTCGACAGGACGACGTCACCTTCTTTCTGGTGGACGTGACGAATCTCTTACACTATGATCCACCCTGTCCCGATGCCGAGGTCATCCCTCTGGAGCCAGATCCTCACTCTATCTCCATGGCTCCTATCTCTACTTCCGTCCCTCCGCCGTCCGTCGAGTCCACCCCGCCGTCGGGCGCTGACGCTGACGCTGAGGAACTCGCACGATATACGGCTGACCTGGAGCCCGCAGTCCGTGACCTCATCCGAGAGTACCACAACGTTTTCCCATTGTCGTTCTCGTACGCCGGCATCCCACCGATGCGTGACGTCGAGCACTCCATTCAACTTGTGCCTGACTATCGTGTTCACCACCAGGCACCCTACAGACTCTCGATTCCCGAGGCCACCGAACTCAAGCGTCAACTTGAGGAGCTCCTGAGACTGGGTTTCATTAAACCCAACAACTCCCCGTGGGGTGCACCCGTCCTCTTTGCTCGCAAAGCGGATGGAACTCTCCATCTCTGCATCGACTATCGCGGTTTCAACCGCTACACGGTTAAGAACAGCTACCCCATACCTCGTTCCGATGAGCTGTTCGACCGCCTAGGAGACACCACTTCTTTACGAAGATTGATCTTCGTAGCGGTTACCATCAGATCCGCGTCGCTGCAGCCGACCAGCCGAAGACAGCGTTCCGATCGCGCTTCGGCCACTACGAGTTTACGGTGATGCCATTTGGCCTAACCAATGCACCCGCCACCTTCCAGAGGGCGATGAACGACATCTTCAGGGACATCCTGGAGCAGTATATTCTCGTCTACCTCGACGATATCCTGGTCTACAGTCGTACCCTTGAGGAGCACCTCAGACACCTCCGCGACGTCCTTGACCGCTTCCGCAGACATGGCTTCTACGCCAAGTTGAGCAAGTGCCGCTTTGCCCAGCACAAAGTGAATTTCTTAGGACACTACGTGTCTGACCAGGGTCTCCACATAGACGACGCGAAGATCACTGCTATTGCGGAGTGGCCCGCCCCCACATCCGCCAAGCAGCTTCGCCGCTTCCGAGGCCTGACCAGCTACTATAGTAACTTCATCCGGGGATACGCTACGTATTCCTACGTCCTTACCTCCACCCTCCTCCGGAAGAACCCACCCTGGGCTTGGACACCCCTCCACGAGGACACCTTTCGCGCCCTCAAGAAGGCGGTGACATGCGCACCGGTTCTTCACCTACCCGATTTTGACCGCCCTTTTATCCTTACCACCGATGCGTCAGACTTTGCTGTAGGAGCAGTGCTTTCTCAGGTCTTCCCCTCCTCTCCTGATTCCTCTCATCCTCGTATCCCTCGCTTCCCACCACCTACCCCTACCACTGCTTCCCGACTGATGCCTACTCGTCCAGCTACTGACGAGCCTTCTATTGACTATTCTCCTACCATCGCAGAGGACGACACTGTCGAGTCTCGCTCCGGTGATTGTTCGATAGCCTTCTACTCCCGTCAGCTCCCGTCCGCTGAGATAAACTACACCGCTGATGAACGTGAGGTTCTCACAGTAGTTTATGTCGCTCGGCACTGGCGTCACTACCTGCACGGGGCACCGTTCACGGTGTGTACAGACAACTCTGTTGTCCAGGCTTTTCTGACAAAACCGAAGCTCACTTCTCGACAGGCTCGCTGGTGGCGCGACCTATCCGAGTTTAGTTTCACCACTGACTACATCAAGGGTGAAACTAATCAGGTCGCAGATGCCTTATCCCTGCGCCCTGACCACGACTAGGAGCACATCCAGCTCTCTTCCATCTCGGTCACCACCGTCCACTGCTCGGTGATCGACGAGTTTCGCACTCAGCACCGCCACTGCCCCGACTATCGCGACATCCACGCGACCCTTCGGAGTGGCAAGACCGTCCCGAACTACTCTCTCGGGGACAATGGTTTTGTGTACTGGCACGGTTCACAGGGCACCAGAGAGCCCCGTATTCGCGTTCCCTCCACTGGACAGCTACGTGTCCGAGCAGTAGCAGAGTTCCATGACCAGGCAGCTGCCGGTCATATGGGCTTCCACAAGACGTTGGCTCGTGTGAGCCGCCTGTACGTCTGGCCGAAGCGCAAGGACTTTGTGAAGGACTACGTCGCAGAGTGTCCGACCTGTCAGGAGGTGAACAGTGCGAACCACTTGCCTTATGGTTTGCTCCAGCCTCTTYCTATCYCYGAGGGTMGTTGGCAGTCCATCTCGATGGACTTTATCGGTCCTCTTCGTCCTCCGACCCCTCGCGGTCATGATGCTATCCTGGTCGTCATCGACCGCTTCACGAAGCGTGCACGTTTTGTTCTGTGCCGCTATGCCATCAGTGCACGTGAGGTCGCCAACATCGTGTTTGACCGAGTCGTGCGTGACCACGGCTTACCTCTGAGCATCATATCTCCCCGTGACCCGCGCTTTACCAGCCGATTCTGGCGACGGCTCCACGAGGTATACGACACTCAGCTCCGCTTCTCCTCGTCTTACCATCCTCACACTGATGGTCAGACCGAGATCACGAACAGGACTCTCGGAGATATTCTCCGAAAGATTGTTCGTGACGACCAGCAGTGGGATCTCCATCTTGCCCACGCGGAGATAGCCTACAACCACGCCGTCTTGCCAGCCACGGGGATGTCGACTTACTATTGCGACCTCGGCTATCACCCTCGTGTTCCCACGGACTTCCTTCGACCATCCCAGCTGCACCCCGACACGAGTTTTCCTGCGCTGGACAATTGGGTGGCACACATGACGTCGATCATGAAGACCGCACATGAGCACATAGCCGCGTCCCAGACTCGCATGGCAGCACGTGCGAACCGATCGAGGATGGATCATCCATTCAAAATCGGTGATGATGTGCTTATCGACGCCCGCCACTTACAGCTTGAAGCGGACACGCTTCGCAAGTTCCGGCGTCGCTTCTTTGGCCCATGCCGCATCCTCCAGGCCGTCGGTTCTGATACGACATCTAGCTCGGTCAGCTTCCGTGTGAAGCTGCCCGAATACCTACGCCAGGCTCGTGTGCACGATGTCTACCACGTCTCGTTACTGCGTCCTTACTGCAGACCGTCTGCGCGTTTCGCTGGATGACCATACGAGCGTCCTCCACCCATCATGGTGGACGGTCACGAGGAGTTCCTCGTTTCAGACATCATTGGTCGCCGAGTCACCGACGACAACCCTCCCCACGTCGAGTATCTCGTACGTTGGAAGGGTTACCCTGATGAGGAGGCTACCTGGGAGCCCCTCGAGCACTTGCAGCACGCTCGCATGTTGGTGCGTGCCTATGACCGTGCCCGTCGTGCTGGGTTCACTGCTCCTCCTCAGCCCAATGACCCTCCTCCTTCTCCTCCGGCTAAGGAGACCGCTGAAGTCGAGCCTGCTCCATCTGAGGCAGACCTTCAGCAACAGCCGGATGCCTCTGAGCGTCCACAGCGCACTCGTCGTCGTCCTGCTCGATACGACGATTGACTCTGACTTACCTTCCCACGTSTTTGACTTCTCAGTACTCCATCCACATCAGTCTTGCTACTTCAGCTCGTCGACGTTGCGGCTCTTCCTCGACGGCATTCCGGACTTCTCATCGTGGATGTCATCGGCAGCTCCATGGACTTCATCACGATCAGCTCTGCCTACTTCAGACGTCGCCACTCTCTTACCACTCTACCCTGTACAGTACCCTGCTTGTGTCGCATGATGGTCTCCCTTTAGCCGGGTTCCTCTGAGTTGGGCTCTCCCTTGGTATACGCATAGGCATCGGGACCGTAGCGTTGCCTTGGCTTCCCATCTTACGGATCTAGCTCCGACTTCCCTCACTTTAGGAGTCATTGGCATGATTCCCTTACCCATCATCTTTCTACCCTTCGCCGACCCTCACGCCCTAGTTAGGCAGCCCCGCATGCTTCATCTAGGTGCGCCCAGTATACCAGGCTCCCTTATTCCCATGGTCGACCCTCCATAGCGGTCACCCCTTAGTCGAGCATTACCCGCCTTGATGGTCTATCTGTTAGGGTCATTGGTTCTGTTCGCTCCCAGTTCCCTACCCTCATTGAGCCTGATGACATGTGTCTCCCTGTTATCTATGTGTGGATGCCCTTAGGAGTTCGACCCCTAGGCTGCATTCGCCACCCTCAGAGACCATCCCACCCTTTGGTTTGCGACACACTTCTCATGTGACATATGGTTGTCTTGTTGATTGCTTTGTTGCTCTCAGACTGAGGCTACTGCCTCCGACATTTCTAGGATTTAGTTGTTCTGCTTTTGTTGTTCTTAGGACTTATACACTAGTCAGTTGTTACCAGACTGAGGCTAGTGCCTCCAACATTCTAGGATCTAGTTGTCACTACTTTCTGCTTTCCTAGGACATGTATGCTAGTTAATTGTTTATGCTTTCCTAGGACATGTATGTTAGTTAGTTGCTTCTGCTTTCACTTAGGCTGTTAGTTGTGACATTGCTGTTTTGTGACATTTTATATCCTAGGTTGCATCGCATGGACTYAGCATGGAGCTTGCTCCGCATCCTAGACTACTCAGGTTTTCTTTTCTTTGGTAGWGTTCCGCTTCTTGGCGGAAGCATGTTTGTATCTAGGCGATCCATCACAGGCCGAGGATCGTGTAGCGGACCTCGGGTTGGCCTGTGAGACCAGCCCCTTGGCCTGTTCTCACTGGCCTGTGTTGTATTCGGGGTAGGCCAGTCCAGGCCGGTACCTCTGTCGGTACCAGCCAGTCCAGTCCAGTCCCGTCAGTCCGCTGGGGTATACCCNTATTCGGGGTAGGCCAGTCCAGGCCGGTACCTCTGTCGGTACCAGCCAGTCCAGTCCAGTCCCGTCAGTCCGCTGGGGTATACCCCAGCCATTGTCTGTTTTCACGCTCATTCTTCACTTGCACATTTTGGAGTACGTGCGTTGGAGTCTTGCGTGGGGAGCTGTGCTGTGCACCTTGCTCCCTCCTTCTCCCTCCATCTTCACCTCTGTCACTAGCGGAGCACCACACCTGGTGGGTCCGCCACAATTGGACTACGCCTTGAGGTATGAGAAGCAACAACATTTCTGATATGATCAGGCAATGACAACAGGAAGGACCTCGTTTCGGCAGTGAATGGCTTACTCAAACTACCTGCTAGTATCCAAGGGGAGGAAAGTATTTAGAGGTCCGACGTCCACGAGAGTAGGCGTAGACAGCAAACGATATCGAGGCGCAGACCCCTAGGCCAGCCTTCAGAGCCAATTTTCTTTTCCAAGGTTGCGGATCCACATTTTCAGCCTCCCTTACCTGCATTATACCTTTGATCAGAGGCTGCTCGCCTAGGAGGCCTGAAGCGGATATGAGTTATGAGTGCTGCTGTGCGTGAGAGGTATTTGCAGCTATGGGGGCCGAACCCACGGCACAGGCACCAGAACAAGTATTGTGACTGTGTGCGTTTTGCTAGAAACTGAGCCCAGGTATCATGAGTATGGGGAGAACGCGATCCAGACAAACGTGGATAGACAGGTTCACGAACACGGAGACTCCCACGAGCCACTACCACTATCAGTGGAAAAACGCCTGTAACCGCCGGTCAAAAGGGAATGGTGGAGAGGCGACCAGGGGGATTCTCGTGTTCAAGGCGAATGCAGCAAACCAGGTGACCCTCGGTGGTAACCGCTTCTCCAAAGCTGCAGTCCACTGAGTCCAGCGAGCTACCTCGCGCTGGTGGAGACGGGAAAAGTCGAGGACGCTGAGGGCTTGATGGGCTAACACGCGAGGGGAGTGCAAAGTTGTGGTTGGGCGCGCAAGCTTATCAAGCAATTGCATGCCAAACAGACCTCGAAGTTAGCTATGTCGTTTTCGTGCACCTAGCCGAAAGAAAGGCTAGGTACATTCAGGTTTGGAAAACAATTAGCAGGCCTCGCGCGACCGATATTGGTTTACCGACGTGAGAAACTGCAAGCAGTAAAGGAGGAGAAAATGAAAGGAGAAGGAGGAAGGAGAAAGAAGGAGAAGAGAGAGAGGGAGAGCGGAAGGGAAGGCTACTCAAGAAAAGGTGAGAGAGGGCTACTCAAGAACGGAAGGTAACTGCGCGCGCCTTGGAGGAGTAAGCTCTACGACTGTGCGCCGTTTACCTTCGCGCGCAAACACAGAGAACGAGGATCTGTGAGAACTTTTCAAGAAAACTGCAACTGACCGTGAAGTTGGTCGGATGCTTTTAAGAGAAAGGACTTCTAGAGCGCGCTTCGGGCTGTTGAATGAGCGAAGGAGGAGAATGACTTATGGCAACTTGAAGGAGAGGACGGGACAGTAAAGGGGCTTGGGCTTACTGAGGAACGAAAGCTGCAAGAGGAGAGGGCAAATAGCACGAGAACTTGGGAGAAGTGAGCAGTCTGAAGGGGTACGAGTGAACAGGAGCTTGACAGGACGATGACTACTAACGTGTATGTTCACGTGTGAGCGTGGACGTGATAACGTTCAGGTGCGTTGAGCTGGGGTGTAGCCCTTCGGAGGAGGGTGTTAACTGCCTGACAGCGGGATCTTGTATGAGCTTGTTCCCACAAGCGCTGCAAGAGTGTTGAAGTTGCAGACAGAGAAGGTGCTCGAAAGGCTTTTGTTTGCAGTGTAGCTTGGTCAGTATGTTGACTGAATGCGTCTGTATGCTCAAACCGACTCTCCACCATAGGAAATAGCGACGTGCACGAACTTCTCGGAAACAAGCAACTGCACGCGAAAGCATCTAAGTTACACCTGCTTGGGACGGGAAGTAAAAGAAAGGGAGGAAAATAAAAGGGGTGGAAGCCAAAAGGAAAACGAGAAGAGAGAGAGAGAGAGAGAGGAGATGTTCGCCAGAGAAGGAGAAGGGAGCTCGGCTATGTGAGGACGAAAGGATTGTCAAGCACCAGCCAGATCATCGTTCTCGTCCTAGTCATCTGCTGCAAGCCAGACCTCGACCACGAACTGGCACAGATGAATGCGGAGTTTATCGGGTTGTCTGCTTTCCTCCAGATCGGAGAGAAAAATACGTCCTGTATCTGTGAAGAGATGTATTTCAGAGGTTGGTGAAAGATCAACTGGAGACTCCACAAACAGGTATTTATTTGGTATTCAACAAAGCTGTGGTATGTCATTTCGTTTGGCAACTATCAGCTTCGGTAGTCAGCTCTTCGTCGTGATCAGCTTCAGCTCAGTGGATATTCAAGTTAAGAAACGTCCTCCGCAAATGGGTTACGACTTGTATCATCATTGTCAGCTGGTGTATCCTTGATCTAGACAGTGGTGTTGACTGTTATCTTATCTAAGTCAGCTTTCGGGGTTAGCTGCAACTGACGTAGAGTCTTACACAATACATTAAGCTTGATGAATTGAAAACGAGAAGCTTTAGCTGCTAACTCTTCGCTGTACATTAAGCTTGATGAATTGAAAATGAGAAGCTTTAGCTGCTAACTCTTCGCTGTTGGAATGCACTCGTGCTGAGTTCGTTAAAAAGTTTCCGGTTAAACCGTATGCAGGGAAACTCTAACGCTAGGAGGGAATTTTATCTTTGAGTCGAACTTGAGTTTTCCTTTTTCTTCTTCAATTTTAACTGTTCATGGCTCTGAGGTAATACGATGGGGTTCACGGTCCTTCAGGGACAAGCGTGTAAACAGAATCCTTCACGAATCACGACTGCTCTAAGTGCTCATGCGAGAAAACGAGCAAGGATTGTGACAGGTGTGAAGAAATGGAAGTGAACTGGGGAGAGAAAGGGAACGCCTAAGGGTGTGTGTACTCAAGCTTGAAAATGCAGAAAAGGTGATAGACTGGGGGGGAGCGCTGGAATATGTGCAGGCATCTTATTGATGGGGGTCTATCTGTCCCTTCATGCACCCACACTTGTCAGCCCTAAGGGCGACACCAACCCTCGTTCTTATCTGAGTGTCGTGCTTGGATCATCGACACCCTGCAATACATGTTTACTGCTACGTTTGTCTGACAGTAGAAACTCATTGATTTTTTTATTTTTAAATTTTATTTTTTAATTTGGACCATTTCTCGATTTATCCGTGTCATCCTTGCGCAGGGGCCATGCTAATCTTCTCTGTATCATTCCAATTTTAACGGATGTCCCGAAGGACAACTCGTTGAATTTCTGTGCGGAGTATATTCCAAATATCTGCAATGCAAATCTGAGGTCCTCGCACTTTGGCTTCCCCCCCCCCAAGGCAAGCGCCACCCCTGCTGGA